CTGGGGGGGGGGGGGGGGGGGGACAAAACCCTGTTTTGAAAAACAAGCAAACAGGGGCTGGAGAGATGGCTCAGAGGTTAAGAGCACTGGCTGCTCTTCCTAGAGGTCCTGAGTTCAATTCCCAGCAACCACATGGTGGCCCACAACCATCTAGTATGCAGGTGTGCAGGTGTGCACAATTGTGTTTAATCCCTAATGCAGGGATTAAAGGCAGGCATGAGCTTCCGTTTGTTTGTTTACTTATTTATTATGTACACAATGTTGTGTAGGGAGGCAGAGGCAGGCAGGCATCTGAGTTCGAAGCCATCTCTGATCTATAGAGAGAATTCCAGAACAGCCAGGGCTACCTGTCTCAAAAAACAAAACTGAAACAAAGAGGGAAAGGATGAGTTCCAGGTCAGAGTCTAAATGTAACTTTCGTCCCACTGTGCTCTATCATCTGTTCTAGAAAACACTCCAAAGAAGCCACACATTGTTCTGCAGATCAGGTATTATTTAGGTCATGCCCATGCCCCAGCTTTCAGCGTGAGTGAACCCTTCTAGACCTTGATTTACTGCAACCAGCAGCTTTTGAAAGAGCTGCTTTGTGGTGCCCTCTAGTAAAAGTAGTATCACAAAACAAAACAAACAAACAAAAACCCCCCCACAAAAACAAGAAGAAAAACCCACCCATCTATAAACGGGGTTTCATGGCCACAGTCTGAAACTGGAGCAGCAGTATCCCAGGCACCCTTTATCAGATTAGCATCTTCAAAATGCCCATATGAAGTACATTTGTCCATCCTGCACCTGGTGGCTCATCAGTGAGGAATGAATGACATCAGGCCACCAGGCAAAGAGGGTTTATTGTGAAATCAGTAAACAAAGCAAACTCTGGGTTAAAGGTGCCTCAAAACCACAACCTGAAACAAAGTGTTTTGTTGGTGTGTGCACAGCAGGTTTGCACTGCTCACACTACCCATCATGGAAAATTTTCCAGGGCAAAAACAGATGCTGGGGAATCATGGCACCAACCAGAATGTTTCTTTTGCTTGTGAATCCAACACAGCTCATTGTTCCCTTCTAGTCCTTGAATTTTCTGCTTCCTCTGCCTGGACCACTCTGCCCCTCTCCTCTACACAGTCAAGAGTCATCATCTTTTACACTTTTTTATTTTATTATTTTATGTGTCTGGGTGCTGGCTGTGCATGTGTGTCAGTGTGCTGTGTGTGTGAACCGCCCAGATCTAAAGTTACAGAAGCTGTGAATGCTAATGTGGGTGCTGGGAATCGAACCCAAATTCTCTGAAAGAGCAGCCAGTCTAGGTTAGCCTCCGACATGCTATGTAGTGGAGGCTGGCCTTGAACTCATGGTCCTACTGCCTCCACCTTCCAAATGCCAAGGTTACATGATAAATAATGAGGTCCAGGCCAGGCTGGGTGACTTGAAACCTTTTCGAAAAGCGTAGTAGTGACAGTGGCAATCGGGATTGCTTAGTGGTAAAGCGCCTGTGTTCAGACCCCAAATCCACGTACAGATGGAAGGAGAGAGCCAACTCGACAGTACGGCCCTCTGACCACTGCACATGCTCTGTGGGCACGTTCACTCACACACACAATCATAATTAAAAAATTTGTACTTTAAAACATTTTTTATTTTATGCGTGTGCGTGTTGCCTGTAGGTATATTTTTGCAGCACTTGAGTGCCTGGTGCCCTTGAAAGCCAGAAGAGAGCAACAGAGCTGTAGCTCCTAGAAGTGGAGCTACAGAGAGTTGTGCGCTCTTAACTGCTGAATCATCGCTCTGGCCCTGACAATAAATTTTTCAAAAATACCCTTTTGCACGTCCCTTTCTTTCCCTGTGTTTCTACTTTCAGCCTATCACATTGTCCAGTCCTTGGAATCTGGGCTTGCTGTTCTTCGCAATGCAGAAAGCATGTTACAGGATCTAGAGGAGACATGGAAATAGAGGGGAGCACACATCTGCGGGAGCAGAGTTGTTCCTGTAATCAGAACAACTGCAGGGCTGTCGTCTCCCCAAGGAAACGAGACCATGGGCGTGTGCCACGGGGGTCTTGGCATTTTAAACAAATGCCAAGAACACTGGGGATGGAAATGTGTGGAAGGGGTAGACAGCAGCGGGTTGGGTATGTGGGTCTCCTTGTTAGAGGGTTCCACTGCCAGTAGAGTCAGCTTTCCGATCTGAGGGTCTCAGTCCACCGGAGGCCTTTAGTAACAAACTCTTCAGAAGATGGACATGGCTCTTAGAGCGTATTAGGGTATTCATAGGGTTTGGCATGTGTTAGAAACTCTGAGGGGAAATTTTAAGGAAGGCAGACTTTGATCTGAATTGGAGAGTTTCAGGAAATAGGTGTAATCCTGTATTGCCTATTGATGGTTTTTAAAACATGCTACTCCTCAAATATACCACTTTGGCATTATGGTTATTTTGAGTTGAGGGTATTTAAAAACAAAAAACAAACAAAAAAAACAAAAAAACAGCAAGAGGGCTGGAGATATGGCTCAGAGGGTTAGAGCACTGTCTGCTCTTTCAGAGGTCCTGAGTTCAATTCCCAGCAACCACACGGTGGCTCACAACCATCTATAATGTGATCTGATGCCCTCTTCTGTCACGTAGGCATAAGCTCATGTGTATAAATTAATAAATTAATAAATCTATGAAAAAAAAACCAGCAAGAAAGCTTCTAATCTCTCTTTCCCTCTCCCTCTCTCTCTCACATACACAGACATTCATCTAAAGCCAAATCATATTTCCTATGAGAAAGATATCTCCTCTCTCAACCAGAAAGGTGGCATTCTCTTTTGTTGGTTGGTTGTGTGTGTGTGTGTGTGTGTGTTTCTTTTGTGTTTTATTGTTGTTTGTTTGTTTTTAGCCAGGGACGAATTGTACAGACCTAATCTGGTCTGGAACTCAGGCTGCCTAGGCAATTCAGGTTGCCCAGGCTAGCCTCAAACTCAAGCAATTCTGCTTTGGCCTGGGTGGGATACAATCATGAGCTACTATGTCTGGTTAAGAAGGTAACCTTATAGGCAGTGGTGGCTCATGCCTTTAATATCAGCACTTGGGAGGCAGAGCCATGTGGATCTCCATGAGTCAGAGGCCAGCCTGGTCTACAAAGTGAGTTTCAGATCACCCAGGGCTATACGATAAGACTATCTAACAATAGCAAAGTCCACACATGAATCAAAACAAAACAAAACCCAAAAATGAAAAAGAGGAACACTGATATCATCAGAGGTGACACCACCGGGAGGCGGACCCATTCAAATAACCTTTATTTTCTCTCCTAACTTCCTAGTTACTGTCATACAATTTTGGGGGATTTTTATTTATTCTGTTTTTCAAGACAGGATTTTTCTGTGTAGCCTTGGCTGTCTTGAAACTCATTCTGTAGAAGGTTGTGTGTGCCACCCCCCCCCCATTCATTCATCTATCTATCTACCTACCTATCTATTTATTTCAAGACAGAGTTTCTCTGTGTAGCCTTGGCTATACTGGAACTCATCTGTAGACCAGGCCTTCCTCTGCTTCCTGGGTGCCCACTCATTTGTATTTTTTAATTATGTGTATGTGTTTTTTCTTAAAAATATTTATTCATGTATTTTATGTATAGGGATGCTCTGTCTTCATGCACATTAGAAGGGGGAATCAGATCCCATTACAGATAGTTGTGCGCCATCATGTATGTGGTTGCCGGGAATTGAACTCAGAACCTCTGGAAGAACAAGACCCTATAACCGCTGAGCCATCTCTCCAGCCCCTATACATATTTCTTTATGTGCTTATGTGTACATTCGAGTCCTGGTCTGGAGCTGGAGTTACATACAGGTAGTTGTGAGCCACCTGCCTGGGTGCTGGGAACAGAATTCAGGTCCTCTGGAAAGGCAGCAAGCTGTCTTATTCCTTAAACCAGCCGCTGACCTACAGTTCTTAATCCAAGCCGTCATAGGACATCCCCAAGAATCAGCTCTTTACTTCCTCAACAGTATCATTTTAATTTAAAAAAATTACTTAAGCAGCAGCCGGGCGTGGTGGTGCATACCTGTAATCCCAGCGCTTGGGCAGGCAGAGGCAGGTGGATCGCTGTGAGTTCGAGGCCAGACTGGTCTACAAAGCGAGTCCAGGAAGGCCAAGGCCGCACAGTGAAACCCTGTCTTGAAAAACAAGACAACATTTAAGCTACATAAAAATATACAAATTATACATATACACGGAGTATCATGTTTATAAGGAGTGCATGTTTGACACACACACAGTGTAGTCTTTAAATTAGCTTAAACATATATCCCATTCAAAATCTTTTTTTTTTTTAATATACAGCATATGACTGTTAGCTATAGTCACCTCGATGTGCGATTTAGCAGACCAGATTTTCTGGCCCTTATCTGGCCCCCTTCAGGATGTCACAGTATAGTCCAGGCTAAACTCTTCATGCCTCCGGCTCAGCGCTAGGAATTACAGAGCTGCGCAAGCCACCTTAGATACTGTCCTTCCTTACAGGAACTATGAGGTTAAATACATCTAAGGTGTGAGGAAGGAGTCAAGTGCTAAAACTGTGCTTGGCTATTAGCGGACAAACCTGGGAAATACTAGCTACACTGGGATCTCTGCTCTTGTTGGGCAACCTACTTTATTTATTTATTTTCCCTTTTTTGAGCTAGGGTTTTGTGTGTCTGTGTGTTCTGGACTCGCGCTGTGGACCAGTCTGGCCTCGAACTGGCGCCACCACCGACTGGTTTACATAATCTGGTTTCATCAGGCCTAACACACAGGCAACCTGCCAGTTCTTAGGGAGTTAAAATAAGAAGGGAAAAAAAAAAAAACAACCCAGAAACAAAAAACAAAAAAACCCAAAACCAACCCTCCCAGCCCGCCCCACGCATCACTCCGGAACAGGAGGAGCAGCCAGGGGGCGGCCCGGGCCCGAGAGGGCGGGGCAGTTCCGGGGGCGGGACAGCGTCCCTAGGGTGGCGCTCCCGAGGGGCGGGGCGATCCTGAGGTGGAGGGGCGGGGCTACGAGGAAAGCCCCCCGGGAGCGATTGGCGCCAAGTTGCCTTAGCGGAGCTCCCGGCGCCCCCTCGGACGCGGCCCGTTCCCGTGCTCTGCTCGGGGCTTTCGGTTCTCGCGCCGTCGTTTTGCTGCAGGGCTTCGCGGAGTACGCCATGCCTCCCAGGAAACGCCCCGAAGCCCAGCCGTCCCCCGGCGAGGCGGTGCGCCCGCAGAGCCGTGGCCGCCGGAGTCCTCCGGAGCTGGAGCCCGAGGCCAAGAAGCTGTGTGCGCGGGGTGCCGGTACGGCCTGCGCCGCCGCCCCCGCTTTCCAGCGGTTCGGGGTGCCCCCGCGAGGCCGCAGCTGGGGCGGGGGGTGCTTGTGCCCAGGGTCCTGAAGCAGTCCCAGGTCCCCGTCGCCTCGGGCTGGGGTCCGATTGGAGAGGTCTAGGATTCGAACCCAGGCCTCCAGTACGCTAAGCAAGCGGCCTGCCCCCCTTCAGACTGCATTTTCTTTGCCAGTTCGTCGACGCCCTCTACCTCCACCCCGGATGACGGGAAGAATCTGATGAATCAGTCGCCATGTACCCGCAGGCTCCCATTTTCTTTCTTTGATCCAGAAGTTTCACACGTTTGTTTCAAAACAGTCCTCCCTTGCCTAGCCCCGTGGGTGCTGTGTAGGCAGTGTTGTTAGGTGTATGGCCTTGGGTTCCAGCTCTTAGGGTCTGAAATTGCTTCCCTTCTTTCTTCAGGAAGGTCATTCTTAGAGGTTTGCCAGGGTTTGAACCTGGGGCTGTATGGAATGTGGTGAGCTGATAGAGTGGTTTTTATCCACGAAAGGAAAAAGTTGTCAACAGAAAGGACCTACAAGATTGGGTCTACCAATAGAGGCTGGTAATTCAGAGTTGCTTTATTCTCGGTATACTCTGGATTTACCTTTCCCTCCCTGAAGCAACCTACTCGATGTAGAGCTTTTCTAAACCCTACTGGATTCTTCTGGTTTCCACTCAAGTAATAGTTGCTCATTACATTTATTATTATTATTATTATTATTATTATTATTATTATTATTATTATTGAGACAGGGGTTCTCTGTGTAGCCCGGGCTGTCCTGGAACTCTGTAGAGCAAGCTGGCCTCAAATTCACAGAGATCCACCTGCCTCTGCCTCCCGAGGGCTGGGATTAAAGGTGTGTGCCTTCACCGATTGGCTTAGTTATTATTTTTTAATGCAGGTCCTTGCTGTGTAGCCCAGGCTGGCCTCAAATTCAAGCTGTTTCTCTGCAGCAGCCTTTGCGTGCTAGAATTGCAGTTATGTACCACTATATTTGGATCTCTCTTCTATCATTTTAATATAAGATTAAACAAACTTCTTTTCCTAAGCAATTATTCTTAGGCTGTTCTAGGAATTTTGATTGTAATTTTTGTGTTTGTGTGTTCAGTTTGAGACACAGTTTCTCTGTGTAGCCTTGGCTGGCTTGGACTCGCTTTGTAGACCAGGCTGGCCTTGAACTCACAACAGAGATCCACCTGCCTCTGCCTCCCCTAGTGCTGGGATTACAGGCCTGTGCCACTGTGCCCACCTTGATTGTAATTTTAGTACTGTTCCTCAAATCCTAATTTGTCAGCCCACACAAGAAAAGTCTGCAGTGTACTTTGTTATTGTGTGTCTCATTTGCTCAGCTCTCAGGAATCCTGCAAGGTCATATTTCATTGCACTTCAGAATTAATGTTTGGAGGAGTGTTTTGGAGAAGGGTTATTCTTTCTTGAAAAGGCTTTTAGGAAATGATGAGACAAATTGGCTATACTGATTGACATAGCAGGGGGATTCAGGGGGAAACCTTTCCTGAGATTGTGGAGAGGGAAATGTGTGTGTTCTTTGGCAGTTTCTAGCAGGAAATGTGAATCGTGCAGCGTTTTGGCAGAGCTGTGTAGCCTGCAGATCCCTCCACGGACTAGCGGCAGCATCATCAGGGATCTTTACCAGCATAAGTTGGGCAAAGCCACCTGGGCATCACTGCAGCAGGTGAGATGTTTTCTGTCTGAGATACCTAAGGTTTACGTAGCTTTTTAATTATTGCATACTCTAACTAGATGATAAATCGGTTCAGCAAATTATCAGACTCATCAGGTCTCCAGGCTGATGACCAGCCTACTGGACCCTCAGTCAAGGAGAACACATCCTCGCTGGAATGTGTTCTGCCCTCTTGCTTTCTAGGGTTCATTCACACACAGTGCAGATATTTGATGTACAAGGCCAGGGAAGACTTCATCTTTTTGTTTTGGCTGTCATGGAACTCATGCTGTAGACCAGGCTGGCCTTGAACTCAGAGGTCCTCCTGCCTCTGCTTCCGAAGCGCTGGGATCAAAGGTGTGAGTCATCACTGCCCAGCTAGACTTAATCTTTTTATTTATTTATTTATTTATTTAATGCATATTAGTGCTCCAAGAGGGCAGTAGAGGGTATAGATGGTTGTGAGCCACCATGTGGGTGCTGGGAATTGAACTCAGGACCTCTGGAAGAGCAGACAGTACTCTTAACCACTGAGCCATCTCTCCAGCCCCTAGACTTAATCTTAATGCTTATCCAAGAAGGAGCCAGAGATTGACAGTTTACCCAGGACTTAAATTTAATTTTTATTTATGTTTTTGAGACGGGATCTCACTATGTAGCCTTGGCTGGCCTGGATTGCTATATGTAGACCTGGCTGGCTTCACTCTCATAGAAATTCACCTGCCTCTACCTCCTCTAAGTAGTGGAGTTAAAGGCAGGCACAACCAAGTCCAGCTCAGGACATGAGTTTTAATTTAATAAATTCAGATTAATTCTCTTTTCTCTGTATTAGGGTCTCCAGAAGTCCTTTGTGCACTCTCTGGCTTCTTACCGGGTATTCCAAAAAGCTGCTCCCTTTGACAGGAGGACTACATCCTTGGAATGGCACCCGACTCATCCCACTACCGTGGCTGTGGGCTCCAAAGGGGGAGATATCATGATCTGGAACTTTGGCATAAAGGACAAACCTATCTTCCTTAAAGGGGTAAGTGGTTACAGATGCCAGATGGTTATGCTATAAAACTGTTCATTAGAGGAATGGAAGAAATGTTGATTTCTAGTAGCGAGATGGTTGGGAGCAAAAGTAACTGAGTGTTTTCAAATGGTAACAAAACTCAAATATGATTTGAATGCTGGCCTTTAAAATATTAGAAGGTATAGACTAGTCATTCATTGAGTCTATCCCTTCTCCTCTTTTTCTTCTTCATCTTCTTTTTGAGATAGAGGTTCACTACGTAGCTTGATTGGAGTGGAACACACTCTGTAGACTGGGCTTGCTTCAAATTCATAGAGATATGCCTGCCTCATCCATGCCCTTCTTTATCTTATTTTGTCTGTCTTTCTTGTGTTAGTTAATTTTTCTTTTCTTTTTTCTTTTTTGGTTTTTCACAACAGGGTTTCTCCGTGTAGCCTTGGTTATCTTGGACTCACTTTGTAGACCAGGTTGGCCTCGAACTCACAAAGATCTGCCTGCCTCTGCCTCCTGAGTGCTGGGATTACAGGCCTGCGCCACTGCACCTGGCTGCATTAGTTAATTTTTCATTAATGTGACAGTACCCAGGAGAAATGATTTAAAGGAAGAAAGACAGTTGTAGAGGTTTTGGCCCATGCCTGTTTGCTCTAGTTTATCTGGGCTTGTGGGCCTCATGGCGGAAGTGTATGGTAGAGCAGAGCTGCTCGTCTCACAGCAGTCAGGGAGCAGAGAGAAAAAAACTGATGCCCTTGACATGCATGTCCCTCAGTGACCTGCTCCCTCTAACCAGGCCCCGTGTCCTATTAGTCCGTTCAGATTGAAACTCATCAATAAGTTAAAGTAGTGATGAAGTTAACACACTCATGTTGCAGTCACCTTTCAATAGTGCCATCATCTGGAGACCAGCTCTTCAGTAGAGCCTTTGGGGGAGGGAACAGTTCAGACCGAAACTATAGTACTTCCCATGGTTCAGGTGCACTCCTAAAACGGGGGCTCTGGACTTGTTTTTCCCTTTGGCTGGAGTTCTCTTTTCTATAGTTTTCTCGTGGCTGCTTCCCACTTACAGTTCAAGTGTCTGCTTAATCTGCCTTTTAAATTTTTAAAAATAATTTATTCGTTTTTGGGCTGGAGAGATGGCTCAGAGGTTAACGGCACTGGCTGCTCCTCCAGAGGTCCTGAGTTCAATTCCCAGAAATGCTTACAACCATCTATAATGAGATCTGGTGCCCTTTTCTGGCGTGCAGGGATTCATGCAGGCAGAATGCTTTATAGGTAATGTGGTTGCTAGGAACTGAACTCAAGACCTTTGGAAGAACAGCCAGTGTTCTTAACCTCTGAGCCATCTCTCCATGCCCCCTAATCTACCTTTTAATATTTATTGGTTTGTCTTTTTTTTTGTTGTTGTTTTGTTTTTGAAACAGGGTTTCACTATGTAGCTTTGGCTGGCCTAGAACTATGTAGGCCAAGTTTGCCTTGCACTTACAAAGATTCCTCTGCCTCTGCCTCAGAGTGCTGGTATTAAACACATGTGCCTGGCTTAATCTACCTTGTTAAAGAGAAAGTAGCCCCCAGCCCCCCCCCCATCACTTCCTAGATAATTGCCTTGCTTCACAGTCTTCCCCAAATATTTACCAGTGTTTGAAATACTGTATTTCTCTGTCCTGCCCATTGGAAAATAATCATGATGGCAGGTCCCCTGTCCTGCTTTATCACCATATCCTCAGAGCCTTTGGCCTACAGTAGCTACTTTGTATTTGTTCAATGAGTGAGGGGCATGAAGTACAACAGGACAAAGGGACATAAAACAACTAACAATCCAGATGCCAAATGCTCTAGAACACAAAAGTAGAGCCCCTGTGAGTTAGAGCAAAGGCTTCATGGATGACCGAAGAACAATAATTAAATAATCAGGAGACAGTGAGGAAAGGCATGGTTCTGTCAGGTGTCAGACAAGATTTGAAGGTTTGGTATAGTTTTTAGGTGTTTTGTTGCCCCTGTTTAGGGCTCAAAGGCAAGTTTTTACCAGAGAACTACATCTTGACATCCCCACTTGAGTTTTTGTTTTTATTTTGTATTTGTTTGAAAAAAAAAATTTTTTTTTTCTTTTGAGACAGGTTCTCACTTTGTAGTTCTAACTGGCCTGAAACTTTCTATTTAGACCAGGCTAGTCTTGAACTCACAGAGATTCTCTGCCTCTGCCTCATGAGTACTGAATTAAAGGTATGTTGCCACCATGCCTGGCTATTTGATTTTCTGGAAAGGGGCTCTCATTTTAGCCCAGGCTGGCTATGAACTTGCTATGTAGCTAAGGATGACTTTGAATTCCTGCTGATTCTCTTATTTCCATTTCTCAAGTGTGGAATTAGAGGTGGGTAGCACCATGCCCACCAGCCCCCTTAAGAATGGTTTAAAGGCTAAGCTTTCACTTCAGTTGCTGAGGAGTTGACTTCTTAGGAAATTTACCTTGTGTGGTTGTTACCTACAATTGAGAGTTGTTCTATAAAAGTGACTTTCTAGTTTTAGAACTTAAGTAAAAAACCCAGTAGACCTCAAGAAGCCAAACAGGGTTTTTTTTGGGGGGGAGGGGGTAGGAAAAGATATACAGTTAGTGGTAAAGAGACAGTTTCTTAAATTTTTGGATATGAATTTTTTTTTCTTTTTCAAATACAGCCTGAAAGTATATGTATGGTGTCTATGAGTGCTGTGTGGGTTTTGTTGTTATTGTTGTTGTGTGTACTTGATTTTGATTTTGTTTTTTTGAGACAGGGCTTACTATGTAGCCCTTGATGGCTTGGAACTCACAGCGATCCACTGTCCCCCGAGTAATTAAAGGCATGTGCTACCATGTCCAGCTGTTATCATTTGAGATCCTATCTTCTGGTAGTCCAGGCTGGCCTGGAATTTCCTATGTCGCCTATCTCCTAATTTTAAAAAGTTCAAAAATGGATGTAACATTGAGTACCATTTTTTAAATTATTTTTAATTGTCTTAAAATACTATATTAACTACTTTATTTTTTGAGACGAGGTCCCACTATGTTGCCCTGACTGGCCCTAAACTTCAAGGGCCAGTGATTCCTAAATAGCTGGCACTTGGACCACCTCACTGTACCTAGCCTAATACTGTCATTAGGTAACTAGTCTTCAGAGAATTTAAATGTTTTTGTGGCTAAATAAAATAAAGCACACATCTGAGCTTATTTACATTTTAGCTTATCATTTTTCACACTCTAGTTATAGTTGGAAGAGGTGAAGTTGTATCCCATACGGGGCCTCTTTAAATGGGAGGTTCTGGGAAGCAATGATCCAAAAGGCCAGGTTAGACGGACATGGGAGACCAGGAGTCAAGGTGAGACGGGTCTCAAGAAAACAGTGTGGAATTTGGAAGAAAGAGAAGCAGACAAGTGTTGAGGACAGGGCTGGGTAGGATTTCCTTCCCCTCTCACAGGGTAGGTAACAAAACAGGTGACTTCTAGGAGAGGAAGTTTAAATTTAAGCCTGAAGAAAGAAGGCTGGCAGGAGATTTCTATTGCCCGAGGAATCTAGGACATAGGAGTAGAGAATTGTGGTTACGCTGGGAGGTGCCAAATAGTAGTCTAATATTCTAGGAAACAGCATCATGACTAAAAGGAGAATGACAGCTGCTTTGAGTCGTTTCTGAATACTCCCCCGCCTTTTCTTATAGAAAAGGGTCCTGAAGGGCTCCACACATGCTAAGCATACTTCTATCCCGGAGCCACACCCCTGTTGTCCCCTATCACCTTTATTATACATGTAATACATGTATAGTATTATACATGCATAGAACTGAAGTTTCCTTACACAGCCATGCAGGGAGCTAGCTTGGAGCAGAGAAAGGGAGTGCTGCTGTAGAGGACTTTGTTTATGGCCAGATGCTGATAGAAAGTTGGCTTGAGAACAATTACAGGGGTAACAGCTTGACCGTGTTTGTGACTTTAGTCATCTGATCTGGCTCTGTTATTGACACCTTTCAGATCTTTGGTGAGGGACTATACATTACACTTTCTTTTCTCCTTCCTTCCTTCCTTTTTTTCTGTTTTTGTTTTTTGGTTTTGTTTTGTTTTTTTGAGACAGGGTTTCTCTGTGCAGCCTTGACTGTCCTAGAACTCATTCTGTAGATCAGGCTGGCCTTGAACTCACAGAGCCTGCCTCTGCCTCCCAGAGTATGCATTATATTTTCAAAGTGAAAAGATCTTTATTCTTGTAAACTAAATAAAATTATGAAATTCAGTAATACAAGTTTAAAGATATAAGTAAATATCAAAAATATCCATTTGAACATTTTCTCTGTGCATGTATACACTATTACACACATCTACCTCTTCAGTACTGGTACATAAATATTCTATCATAGAATGTTGTAGTTAACTTACATCAAATATTTTCCCAGTATGTCATACCACACTAGTACCCCGATTGGCCTTGAACTCACTATGAAAGGGTGACCTTGAACTTGTTTTGTTTTTGTTTTTTTGCAGCCAGGGCTGCACTGAAAAACCCACTCTGTAGACCAGGCTGGCCTCTGACTCACAGAGGTCCACCTGCCTCTGCCTCCCAAGCACTGGGATCAAAGGCGTGCGGCACTCTTGCCCATCTTACCTTGAAGTTTTATTCTCCTGCTTCACCTGGGATTACAAACATGTGCCACCATGCCTGACTCTGTAATTCTCTTTTCTTTCTTTCCCTCTTTCGGTTTTTTTCTTTCACTATAATTATTATTTATTATTAATGCCTTTTGTTTTATAACAGTGTGATTCTGACCTTCTAAAATGAGTTGGGAAGTACTCACTCTGCTTCATTCAGTTTTCTGGAATTTGTGTAGAACAGGTTGCAGGTTTGAGTGCTCTTTTAGATTGGTATACCATAGAACAGATTCAGACTTACCAGCAGGGCACCCCAAAACAGGTGTGAGCGCTTGGCTTCCTGGACAATGCACCAAATTTTGGGTTTAGGGTGGAAGCCAAGAAAACTCGCTTTAGGTATAGACGCTTA